CTTCTTTCACCTGTGCAAGTTATTGTTTCCTTGAATTAAATATAGCCTACTCTACGCTTCTTGAGCTTTGAAATTCAAGTAATTAAAATTGTTCGGACTGCCTAGATGGTCTAATGGTAGAGCATCCGCCTGGAGAGCGTAAGGTCCTGGGTTCGTTCCCTGTCCGCATCATACCAAAAGACGTTAAAAGATGGTACTTGTTTTAACCCTGTCTGGCGCTCGGCATTAAGGGGCTAAAACAAGGACTGGTCGGCTCTGAGTCAGTATACTGTGTCTGAGTGGGATATTCATGTTAAACTGCGGCATGGTATCTCAGTGTGCTAGCACCATAAATCGGCATCAGTCCGGACTAGTACAAGCAGTCACATACACACACGTGCATGCACGTCGCTATATAAGTGCAAAAACCTCACCCATTAAAATTGTCCAAAAACATCTCGTTTCAAGCTTTTTATAAGTTAGATTTAAACCATTAACAATACATCATAACAACTGAAGTATAAGGCATGAAGTATAAAAGCCGTCTGTGTGATTGCACAATGCAGCAATGCTTGTTCGACATGGCACCCAAATTACAAGTGATTGAAAATAGGCATGTTGAATCGATTTGCTGCCCATGAAAATGTTTCAACGATTTTGATTGAATCTCTGTGAACTTACTCTTAGGTGGTAGTAAGTTAGTATAATCTTAGTAAAATCTAAATATTTTTTACATTTGTATACTTATCCTGCATTACTCCTTAACGCATTTACTGCTGTTTTCTGACAAAAAGAACATCTACAACCATTCCCGTTGAGAGGAAGCGAGAGTTGATGCAAAAAGGAAAACTCGAATAGGTGACAGAAATAGAATCAGGCGGGTAGCCCAAAACTAAAACTGACCTAAGAGCGAATGCAGAAAACACTAGAGCCCTCTTGTCCAGGGGTGATATGCACTGCAAGGTCGACAGGCCCCGCTTGGGGTATTGGAGAATCAGTGGCGTCGGGTATTGGTTACCAAAACTGTGAACGCTACAAGGCAACAATACAGAGGTAATGGCTGGCGAAGACGGTGTCGAATCGCCAATAACAGTCTTCCATGATTGACTTGATGGAGAGTTACTTTGAAGAACCATGGTAGATGCAACACCCTGATTTCATGTGGGTTTGTTAGCCTTGGGGAAATCAATCAGGCAACTTATTTATAAGCTTGGAGAATGACCTCCCAGAGCCACAGGGTAATAGTATTGAACTTGGCTTTCTGGTCTTCAAGACGGACTGAGCACAGCAAGGCCTGGATTTCGGGAATTTTCGTCATTCTCCAATCGTCTGGGTTGGCAAGAACAGAGTTTATGGCGACCAAGTATGTGGAAATGGTAGAGGTGCTGCACAAGTAAAGAAGAAACTCAGCCAGGAACTGCAGTGATACTGTCATCAGATCCTGGTGCTTTTTCTGAGCAGAATACCTGGAAAGAGCACCATTTGTCATCATGCAGTCCCCGTGTAGATGGACGATGGGCTAAAGCAATAGCCTTGGCTGCTCTAGCCGAATAGCCCTTGGCCTCTAGGGCTTCCTGCAGATGTGCCAGGCGTACAGACGAAACTGTGCGGGGTTAGGGTGTAGCAACTGACTGTGGGTTGAGCAGAAGGTTGGGCCATGCTGAAAGGTCTAGGGGGTTGTCTCTGGTGAGGTTTCGGAGGTCGACAAACCAACTTCTGGTTGGCCACCAACCGTGGGAAGGAGAAACAGAGGCGGAAAAGTGTATGTGTTTAATCCTTCCCAGGGAATGCTGAGGGCGTCAACTGCCTCTTCTGCCGGATCTGGCACCAATGAAAAGTCAGTCAACAGCTAGCAGTTCGGGAGTCGATCATGGCAAAGACTTCAGGGTGGAGCTGCCACTCGCTGGGAACCACCATGTCCAGCATGGACAGAGCATCTGCCAGAACATTCTTGCAACGTAGGATGTGTTGAACAAGGAATTGCAGGTCCAATCTGTCCACCAGGACGAAGAACTGGAAGGTCTGGTTTTGCAGACACCACACCTCAGTGATGTTGTCCGTGGATATGGTCAGCTCTGCCAGTGAGAGGGGGCCAAGATAAGCGCTTTTAGCTTGAGGTTGTCGCTGTGCCAATGGAGTTGATCTCAGGACCACAGCCAAGCAACCGTCTCCAAGTGAGCTCCCCAACCCTGTTTGGATGCATCAACGAACAGGTGGAGGGTTGGCTGTAGCACAGTCAAGGAGACGCCGCCAAAGACCATCAATTCCGCTGCCAGCCACCGGAGAAATGGGTGTAGGTGAACTGGGAGGACGATGGGAATCTCCGGATCCTGACGCCAAATGAAGGGGGCGAGAAACCGTAGAATAGGACGGAGTTGAAGGCAACTCCTGGCAGTCAGGTCTTGAGCCGAGGTGAGAATTGAGCCTGATATAGAGCAGGACGGAGGAGGGGATTTACAACCACCTGTCCCTGGGAACTTGAAGGAGGTCCTGGTTCATGAGAACTCAAACTTCAAGACCTGATTGTTGAGGTGACAGTGTTCTATGTAGGACTTGATGTTGATGTTCCTCGGGTGCAGATAGGTGGCCACAGGCTTGGTGACCCTTACGAAAAGCCACGCGTCCGTGGAAATTCCAAATGGTAGGATCGCCCACTGTCAATGGGTACCATTGAAAAAGAACCTGAGGAATTGCGGGTCATTGGGGTGGATATGCACGACGATGTATGGGCTAACGACTTCGAGAATGACAACGGGATCGAGAAGAGTGGCGACAGGCAGAAGGAGAAGAAGTATTAGAACAAAGATAAGTGTTGATGTCAAACATCCGAGGCAAGAATGTTTATGACTGTAACACCAAAACCCATCCTACAGTTTGCACAGGCCTCACAGAGTAGTGTCAATTACGTGCATAGGGTGTCATTCCTCATTTTGACACTTTCAATGAAGGTCAATTAATCTCTGTTGACCATTATTTCTGTCAATCTTATTGATTCTGCTTGTCCTACAGTTGTGATTTACTTGATTTTATTCATTGTTTGTGTATGAACTACATTGTTTGTGCAATAGTTATCATTGTTAATAATTGTACAAATACAACCTCCATTACATCAGACATACTACGTCCCACCTCCCCATTCATCAAAATTTTAATCGAGAACTGTGTCAACATATTTTTCAAGCGTAGAGTAGTATAGGTAATGGGGGTTCTGCCGCAAGTCCACTGGAGCCAGATTTATATACCTATACCACCACTACAGGGAGAATTTTTTATGTGTAAACGCTGCTGCGATTTAATGATCGTCATGAGATTAAACTAAATTGTAATGAAAATATTCTCTATTATCTTTATTCATACGTATACCATTATTTTTAACAAAGTGATACTCAACATTTTTACTAAGTTCTTCATTCATTTTACTAGGAGACCAGACTATATAGTCTTCTTGGTAATTGGAAAGAAACAATTGATGACCGTATTTGGTTGGTTTGACATCACTGATATAATATATACCTTGTGGTAATTCTCTCCATTTGATAATTTTGTCCCTGAGCATAAATGCTTCGATAGCTTTTTCGAGTTCTTCCTTTGTTGGTTTGTAATTCTCCATTATTATATACTTATGTAAGGATTCGTTTAAATGAATGTATGATTTTTTATGCGGTGCTATCCAACGATAGTAAGCAATCTATTTTTAATCTCCAACCAGTTCTTTGGTTTTGGCACGGAATAATTGACGCGCTTGTTGTCTCCCCTGTTCTATGAACTTTTTTTTCTTGTCCTCGCTAATACCAACGGTCTTACGAGAATTGGATCGAATCTCCTGCTTCATTGTGTTGTATTTGGTGAGTTCTGACAACACTAAACGAAACTCCTCCTCGGATATCTTACAATCAGCCATTGCTGTTGAAATATGATCCTCAATGCTGTTCAACTTTGCTTCGGTGAGTATCCGAATGTTATCATGTTTTAATGCTTTTTTTTGCAACCTACGAGAAATGAATTTTATCGCTTTTCCTGCCAGTCCTGAGACTCCAGCGGTTATTTCCATGCCAAGTACGATAGGCGCAGCGATTATAGTTGATAATAAACCAACACCGGCTACACCGAGTCCCATGCCAACTGTTACAAGAGCATTCACGGCTCTGCGATACTTTTTATACAATCCAAGTCTCAACTCCCTCTCCTTCTCTATTCGATTTTTTATGTCGCTCATTTGATGTAATCGAAATCCATCAACAGTATCCAACTTTCCATCGAGCGCTGGATATAAACCCATAGTGTATATTATTATATCATATAATAGTCTTTAATTGGTCTTGCTTCAATGTTTTGAGAGTATACATCAACCTTATTAAATATATATTATACGGCATGAATATCTTAGTAAGAGAAATGCTGTCACTTTTAATAATTTGGACCCCCTCAAGGGTTGCAATGGGTAATGCTCCCATATAAATAATACTGCAATGTTGACGTTGGTGTTTCTTTAGCCATTTAATTGATAGACCTGGTAACATTTCGAAGGCATCTTCTGGTGCATCTCCAAACAAGACTTTAATAATAAGCGTAGAAAGGTCAGGTATTGCACTCAAGTTATCTTTAATATCATTGAATTCAGTAACCAAATTTAAACTAAAATTTTTTCCTGCCGGACGACTATATAACATATGACCTGGGTTTTCTGGCAGGGGAGAGACTAACACACTTTTTCGTTTTGATGGGATATAAGCCGCGAGTACGACCCCACTATTTATTATCTTAGTTAAATTATGTGCCTTACCCGTCATCACATACGGTGGGGTAATGATGATAATCAGTAGCCACTCGATTTTTGCTTCGATCATAATCCATTTATTATAATCGTTGTGAGTAAGATTATACGAACTGTTTTTATTGAGTCTACTAACGTCGACATCGCTTTAATCTCCTAGATTAGCTGTAAATGTAACTTCTTTCCCCTTGTATACATTATCTTGTAAGTGTATACATTATCTTGTAAGTGTAAAGCTACAACTTACCATCGGTACCAGGTTTACCGAATCCTTCTGTGTCTCCGAGATCTGAAAGTGCAATTGTATTACATTGTCTGAGTGTTCCAGGGCCTAATGAATCAACCATTATTTATAATATGGAGTGTTACACTCAAGTATCCTATATGTACAGGTTGATGTTTTACATCTAATACAGAAATTTTGAGATCTGGAATAATACCACACTTTAATTTTTTATATTGTAATGAGAAAGATTCCGTTCTACCGCTATTATATTTTTCATCTTTGACTGGAATAGCTCTGAGTAGAGTTGAAGGACTTTCTAGTTGAATATTATCCGTCATACTTATCTGATCAAGATGGATGCACAACTCTTTATAGGGAACTAAATTGGGCAATTTAACTCCATGCACTGTTTCGTTTGGTTTTATTATTATTGCTATTATTTCGTCTCCTATTATAAATCCAAGTGTAACTGCTAAGCCCCATCCAAAAAGTATTTCCTTTTCTCCAGCGCTTATAATCAGTATCCCATTCGACTCATTTTGTGTGAGACTACTGATTTACTGAAAAGAGGTCGGCTTCTTCCGAGCTTTGCACTCTCAAGTAACAAGTGGAGAGACGATCGTATGAACTTTAAGGGTGGTGTTGCTTTCACCGTCCAAAAGGTTGAGCAACCACCTGGAAATGCTTGGAATGAATTTCTTAATGCTAAAACGGAAAATAAATTTACTAACCCAGGAGTTGTAAGAGTTAATGAATCAATAAGAACTTATGTATGGGCAATTCTCGGTGCACAATCGCAAACACGAACGTCCATTATTGGTTATGGGACGGCACTCGTTGCGCAAAAACAGTTTGTTGCAAACGTAGAGGATGCTTTTAATTCACCAGTTGACATACCATCTTCTATAAAACGTTATCAAGATGTATTACAGTACGCTCAATCCAAAGTAGACTACGTTTATGCGCCGGGACTATACATGTCTCCAAGTAATATGGAACTTAAAGATCGGTCAATTGATAGGTTATAATAATAAAATTGTTATTGCTTCCGATCAACAAAAACCAGGTTCAAATTCAGATATTAACACCGAATTAATAACGCAAACAAACACAGGCGAAACGGGAATAGTCAAGCCACAGATATCTACTAACACATCTACTGACGCACAACCAGAAGTGCCTACACATATTGCAGCTAAAAATCAACAACATATCGATGAAAAAACAGCGCTTATAGTAGGTGGAGTCGCAGCTGGTTTACTCATGATTTGGTTAAATAGTCTTTAGCGGATACGTACAACAGCCCTGCAATTGCTACGATCAGTGCCCACAAATTTTGACTAAGCCAAGTGGAGGTCTTAGCTAATAAATTCAAGAGCCAGGAAACAATACTCCCGAGCTTTCCCAGTGCTGAACCTAATGCTTTTAAATGCTTTTTTATCCACTCTTTTACACCATTTTTATCACTAGGGGGTGTGCCACCTCCAAATGCGGTTAAAATACTGGCAATGGTTATCCCCTGTTCTCTGAACAATGTTTTAATTTTATCGGCCAGTGTAGTATCATCGTTGAGGACTTGATCGATAGTTTCTCGAATTCGACTGATTTGTGAACGAAGTGCCTCTCTATTACTGGCAGCAGCTTCGAGGCGGGCCGATCTTTCATCTTCTAAGTTACGCAATCTTTCTGCAACGCGGCGTCTACTGAATTCATCACTCGCATGTTCAAGTTTTGTTTTCTCATAAGCTATATGCTTGTCGAGTTTGGATAGCTTGGCTATATTATTGATGAGTTCTCCCCGCATTGTTTGCATTGCCTTGTCAAGACCTCGTAATTCCCTAATACTGAACTCCAAGGATGGTACCTGTAACGTGGAATTATCGTAGTAGGTATCCAAGATTTCTCCGAGTCTGTCCGAGGCCAACTTCGAGCTTTCCTCCAAATTATCCATGGCACCGAGTTCAGCACGCACAGTCCGAAGAACCTTAGTAGTCTTCGCGGAAAGTTTTTCTCGTGAGTAGTCTACAAAACCTAATTCATTACGCACAATGTTGATGCCATGTTTACTAGCTATCGTAGACAAGGCTAGGGGCTTACGAGTACGAGAATTCAAAAGATCAATATCTGGAGAGCCACTCAGTCGCAATATTCCTTTACTGTCCATCGTAAACTTTAAATAGTCACGACCAATTGGACTTTCTTTTAAGGCATCGTAATAATCATTAACGGCTGGTTTCAAAAGTTCATCGTTAAGATTCGTAAAACTGGTTTCATCAGTACCCTCTTCGATTGTACTAGTATCAGTTATGTTATCTAGATTAATATCATCCATTTTTATATTAAACATAAGGTTACATAATTTCAATATAACAATGTCTTCGCAATACGGACGCAAGTTAAACCCACAACATAGACTTTGGGATACATTAGGGGTCAAAGCAATTCGTCAGTCTGTAACTATAACTAATAACCCGAGTACCATCGATCAGAATCGAACGCTTCTGGTCCGCTTTCCCAATCTCGGCGCACACGATGTATTAGTTCCGGGAACTGTCCGACTAGCATTTACAATTAGTTTGATTTCTGCCGACGTTAACAGGGAGCCTGTTCAGAACATAGGTCGTGCTATCGTTAAGAAAATCGCAATAAAAATGAGTGGTAATGAGGTTTTGAGTATCGATGATAGCGATGTATATTTCTGTTACATGGATCTCTGGAGAACAGATAAAGAGCGGGAAAACTTACAGTACCAAGGTATTTGTAATCGAAAGGTAATTGAGACTGCGTGTGGGTGCTGATAATGGTGATAATACCGTCGTAAAAGATCTCGCTGTTGCCGGCGCATTAGGTAACCGATTCTATATTCGGCTAGACTTTGAATTACTAGATAGTCACATGCCCTTCTATCAAGCATCCCTAGGTGATAGGGCTGCAACGATACACCTAAGTCACGATACGATACGTATCTCGATACTTACATCACGATTCGATACGTATCTCGATACGCTACGATACATATTGTGACGAGAAGACAAGAGATAAATGAATTAAACTAAGTTTATTAAAATAAAAAATTAAATGAAAGTGAATGAATGTTCATGATTCATAATTTATATACTGTAATGAGTAATTTAACTTAATGAATCATCTGCCATTTCCATGTAATGGCCAGCAAACACAAAAGTAACAGTCCTACATATTTGTGAGTTGTGACTAGATGGTAGGAGTAAATACTAAATGTACCAGTGTCCAGTAACTAATGATTTGCCATTTTCATGTATAAAGGCAAAAAACAATTAAAAACAATTATAGCAACAGCCATGTCATACAACATTTGAAAGGTCTAATCCTAGTGTTTATAAATATGAAAGTTATGTTTATCACCTTATTTAAATAATGCATTGACAACTTAATTAAGTTTGTTGTAAATTCAAAAAATGTGAGCTAACACATTCATAACGTCCAAATTAAGGACCACAGAAGCAAAAATTTGACGATTTGGGGCAAATATAAGATTTCAAAAGATCTACTTATTTCTTTTTTATTTTCAATATTTACGTAATTGAAATATTATTTTAAAAAGAATTATGAATAGTATCTGTTTTCACCCATTTCCGGATAACAGCAGCTGTCCACTCAGTAACATGAAGAAATACCTCTGTTTTCAAAGGTTCATATGAATAACACGTTTGTCGAAGACTGACATATGACACATCGCTAGAAAGCTTTTTTTTCATCTACACGCTCGTAACATTGCCTGGAGTCTTTTCGTAGCTATAACATCAGATTTCATTGGATAACAAATTGTTTCTCATGACGCTTTCTTGCCGAAATCTGCTACAAGGTTCATGCTTGGTCAAATTTGAGCACGTGACCTGAGGCAGGCAATCAAATTACAAATCCTCGTGTACGATGAAATTCAGATTTTTACGAAATATTTTGGTTAAATCGTGTTATTCTGAACATTTTAAGCAAGAAATCGCGATCTATATTAAAAATATGGAGCTTTGTGGATGTATCATGTTAGGTTACAAGCTGTGACAAAGATTTTTCATGCATTTATTTTGGCATCGTGTCCGAGCCGAGAATTGGAGGCGCCTAGAGCCGAGATGTTATTTGACTAACATTCCACGCATTCGCAAGAAAAGATGGAAATAATAACTTAGCTGTAAGTTTGACCACTTTTAGATATATTTTTATTGATTTTATTTATCACTTTGTATAACATATTTAAAGATTTGCTTGAAACGTCTTTGTTTTGGCTCTTTGACATATTCGATGTGCACCTGTTGTCGAAGTGTGCGAATTTTATTTTCAATGACATTGCGGGAAATAGTGAATAACTTTTTAATAAAAAATGATCAATTGAAATAGAATGCGTATTTCAGACATTGTGAGATGTGATAGACTTAATAAATGAATGGTATGACAGGTAGGTTTTTAAAACTATATACTATTTTGACGTGACTAAGGCTTGGCCGGTTTACCGGCCTATGGCGTTGAAAGAGTTAAAACTCATTTAAAACGTATCTGTGATAAAAGTTTATTACAAACAAAAAAAGACGTACGTATATACATCTTTGAAAAACGTATCGTGAAAAATCGAGATACAGCACCTCACAAATCGCACACCGTATCGTATGGAGTGAATCGCGATGCATCGGTGTCCCGGGATATTGTTTCAGCCCTACTAGGTTAGAATACAAACTCACTTTTAATGACTACTTGTAGAGTAATCAGAGCTGCTGAAGATGCTAGCTATTCCATTGACAATATCTCACTGGAGTATGATATAACAGATCCTGAATTAGCCAGACAAATTCGTAACCAGTATACCAGAAGTTTAGCTATTTTGTACAATCGCGTGCTTCGACACCGAAAGATCATAAGGAGTAAAAAAGATATGATGTGGAATATCAATCTAAACGTCCCCACGAGATCGTTGAAGGATATTTTAATGTTGTTTGAGGACCCCTCCGATGCATTTAAAAGAAATACCGAGAAGTTCTACGTATACAATCCCAAGATTACAAAAGTTGAATTGACTATCAAGGGCATGCCTA